TTCCACGCCAAACCCACGCCAAACCCACGCCAAACCCACGCCAACTAGTGGGCCATGGGTTACTAGTGGGCGTCGATTTCCAGGCGTGGGTTTGGAAACCCACGCCCACTAGTAACCCAAACCCACGCCAACCCCACGCCAACCCCACGCCAAACCCACGCCAAACCCACGCCAAACCCATGGGTTTGGGACCTTGGGTTACTAGTGGGCGTGTATACATTCATTAGCACAATTTAGCAGAAAGATGGCAAAACCCACGCCAAACCCACGCCAAACCCACGCCAAACCCACGCCAAAGTCTGCCATCGTAGGTAAGAAGAGGCAAAAGAAGGAAGTTGGCAGTCCAAGGCGAAGAGGTAACGAGCCCCCAGCGAAAAGCGAAGCAGAGTGCCTTGTGTTTTTGGGAAGAGAGTCGTTACGCGTACAGGTAGGCAGAACAGTAGTAAAGAAATGGCAATTTGAAACAAAAGTCAAGCCTACATGAGGGACTAACAGATGCTAGCTTTTGCAAATGAACTGCAGCAGCTAGATACAAAATCAAAATCTGGCAGCGTGCAGTCCTTATTGGCGTTGTGCAGCCGTGTTACGTCTACTGCATTGCCTGCTCTGTTGCTCCGCAGGGTTGCTGCCCGCTGCTATGTTCCACTTGGGGACAGTCTGCCTTCAACATGGGTCAAGGGTTCATGACCCAAACCATCCAATACAGACACTCCGGTTTGTCGAGGGTTCAACCTCCTGATGACTCGGTGCAACTCCAACGAAACAATCTTGTTATCATCAGTTTTCATTGTTTTGGATCTTTCTTTTCTTCCAGCTTTTACTCTCTGTTGCTGTCGGTCATCCTATGCCTTGTTGTCCTATGTCGTTGTGCATCCACCCGCCTCCCCCTTGCCCTCAATCCTTTGCTCTTTGTCGTTGCTTGGTGTCACATGCCTTGATGCCGCATGCCTTTTCCTTCGCTGTCTTTCATCTGCCTTCTCCTAGCAGTTGCTGTGCACTGTTTGTTTGCCCACCCGCCTCCCCCGTGGCCCCCAGCCTGTGTGACGAGATGTCATTATTTGCCTTGCTGTTCGTTGTGTGTGTTGTTGCTGGCTGTCAGTTGCCTTGTTCTACTGGGCTGATGCTTGTGGCTCGTGGCTTAGTGCCCTCGGGGTAATGAGGACCCAGAGGTTTTCAGATACCCGAACGGTCCCAGTGTGGGTGATGCAAAGGCTTGCTGTATGGGTCTGTCGAAAATGGTGTGAATCACTGTGAAAAGCTCCACGTACCCTGAACGCAACTTGCTGTGATTCACATCGTGGTAGCATTACGGTTAATCAAACACAAACACACACTCTTGGAGTTGTGTATCGCGAACATGACAATCGACATCAACAGACAAACTACAGGCTGTGCACCCGTGCCCTCACGGTAAGTCAATCATGGTGTGTGTTTGGAAATGTGCAAGTCATTACCAGCAGTGGTCTAAAACTACGCCAGTCATTACCAACAGTGACGCTTGGCAGATTTAGGATTTCCTTTTTCGCTTCATTTTGGGAACTGCTAAATTTGCCTATCCTGAACGTCGGGTGTGACTCCAACGTACAGTGTGACTCCAAAAGAAAACAGGTACCTACTTCGAATCCGTCGGACTTTTTTTTGTTTTTTCTTTCCCCATCTGGCACCACGGCCGCCCCCTGTCAATATGACACCCGGCCGGACACCACAGCCGTTGGTAATTTCATTCCTTTTTCGAACTCCGTGCCTGGTTTCTTTGCGGGCGTGTTTTTGTTTTTTCTGAAACATCCAAGTGACGAAGTGAGGCCTATTAGTGGAGGTGATAGGAGCATCCCCCACTCAGCTAATAGGACCCCCAAGAAGATGGCTCCAATCTATTCAATTTGGTGGGGAGCTGCACCTGCCGGAAACCGGGTCCAGCGTCCCATTTTACAAAGCCCGAGCCAAAATTGAGTCGTAATCATAGAAGGAGGACAGCATCGACTGCCCTCGTGCGAGCGGATTGACTGCCCATGCGCACCATTCAACCAGTAACCCCTAGTCTACAGAGAGCGAGGTTGCGTGTTTTTTCTTTGCTTACGCGATACTCAAAAGTGACATGAACGTACTTACCTATATATATTTAAAAAAAAGAACACCTAGAAGTTCCTAAAGGGACACTGGGCTTGTGTCCCAAGAGGTGGTGGTCCCAGGACTCCCAACCAATAGAATCGAATAGACTTCAATAGAGTTATGGGCAAGGCAAGGCCTCCCCAGCAATACAACAGAATACACTTTGCAAGTCTGCAGTCAAATGCTCGGTCCTTGTCCTTGTGTTAGCCGACCCCACCTGCGGCCCCAACCCTGCACCCGTAAACCACGAGGGCAAGGGGCAAACATGCAATTACCTCCTCCACTGAGAGAGGTAACCTCCCTTCACGAAAGAGAGGTAGATAGCTATGCTTGCAGTGGTCCCCTGCATAGCCTTTTTTTTTTTTTTTTTTTGGGGGTTCCGAAGGGTTGACAGATGCCGTAATGTCCGGGCACTCCGGCCTGGTTCATAAGGCAG